TCCTACATTCGTGAACATGATCTTTAAGGCTCATGAATCTTGTTCTACACTTGCATGACAACATTTAATGCACAACAAATAATTAGATGATTCATAGTTGGTGATCAAACAACTACAAATATAAAGCATAGATACATGAATTAACAAGTTCACAAGATAGCACAAATCAACCAAAAATCACTTCATATCATGATGCAAATAAGTTCATCCTCACCCTAGGAGAAAATAGTTTAGTTAGACATTAAGTTAAGCATGTTAAAGTATAAAGAACTAATAAAACAAGGCATGATTGATAACAAAATGTAAATAGTAAAGGATGAAAGATTCTTATTCAAAATGATCTCCACACAGCTTTCATTTCCAATTTTTCTCCCATCTACCAAGCTTACAAACTCTTTTTCTACCTAAACTATCTCTCTCAAGTTTTCCAAAGTCTACAAATATTTCTCCAAAAAAAACTCTCCCTTGATTCTGCAATACAATGAGTATATATAGATATTAGAAGAATAAAAAATCTTCATTTGTTTATGACATAGCTTCCTTTACACTCTTCTAGGTTTTCTTGAGCAGCTACAGCCAAAATTCTTGTTGAAAATGAGCTGGAAAAGCTATGGAAAAATTGAGCAAGTGCTATTAGAGAGTTAATTGCGCATTTTATTTATGCATATCACCTCTTAATAATGGTAAAATGTGGTGTTAAATGTTGGATTCTACTCATGTTTAGTATTTGGCATTGTTTATATGCCTTTTGAGAGAAAAGTGCATTAAAGGTGAAATTCCAAAAGACTATGCTTTACAAGGCGCGACCATATCTTATTCTGATTTGAAGTCCGGACGTCACAAGATTGGACGTGGATCCCGTAGTTGGGATTCTTGCTGATCAATAGGAATGAATTATTCATTTTCTTATAGGAATAGGAGTTTTTGATTAGTTAAAACGATATTTCTTATGTAGTAGTATTATTAATTGTTAGAATTATATTAGAAAAATGATTCTTATATCCTTTTAAAGAGGAAAACCGCAGATACTAGGGGAGGAGTCACATTAGTCCTAACTTAGTAAATGGCCTTTCTCTTGTTTTTCTTAATTCCTTTCTTTTTTTTCCTTTTTCTTTTTCTAAAACAATAAACCCTAATTATTCTTTTGGATGTGAATCCATCATAAGGAGTGGTTAAACTCTTTTCCTAGTCATATGATAATCGAAGTTTTGGTTCATCGAATACTCTAAGATTTAATTTATTGTTATTGTTTCATTTATTTATACGTAACATGCAAAAAAGATTACAAAACAGACTTATCTCCAAAGACTTGCATAATTGAGGATCTATCCTTTTCGAACTTTGCTAATAATCAAGCATACCTTTTGTGTATAAATCATTATTCTATTCCTTTATATTTTTTACTTTTTAATTTATACAAAACTGGTTGGGCCATTTTACGGGCCTGTTTGGAAGCCCTATTTTTTTACCAAGTTTTTATTATACTAGTTTTTTAACAACTTGTGCTACAAGAACCCCCAAAAACTTATCAAAGTTTTTAACCTACACACTTAAAATATCCAAAACACAACAAAAAAAAAATTTCCGTCCGCTTTTCTTCTTCTTCTTCCTCCCCCACCACCACCTCCATTGCCGGCTCCGTCGCCGGTTCCGGCGCCAATTTCCGGTGCCGGTGCCGGTCTTCTTTTTTTTTTCCCCCCCTTTTTTCCCTCTCCCCCTCTTCTGCCATCATCCTCTCTTGTCTTTTTTTTTTTCTCTCTACGTCCGGCGCCATTCCTCCCCCCCTCTCTGTGGGAAAAAAAAGAAAGAAAAATAGGGCAGAAGGGGTGGCGGGGGAGAGAGGGAGAGAAGCGGGAAGGGGAAGGGGTGAGAAGCGAGAAGGGGACCAGAGGTGCGGGCAGAGGGGGGAGGGAAGGCGGGGCAGAGGGGCGGCGCGGGGGAGAGGGAGAAGCGGAGGGGGAAGGGGGAAGGGGAAAGGGGTGAGAAGCGGGAAGGGGAACAGGGAAGGCCGGGGTGGCGGGGGCAGAGGGGGGCTGCGGGGGAGGGGAAGGCGGGGCAAAGGGGGGCAAAGGGGGGAGAGGAGAGAAGCGGGAAGGGGGAAGGGGGAAGGGGAAGGCGGGGCAGAGGGGGGCGTTGGGGGGAGGGGAGGAGAAGGGGAAAGGGAGGAGAAGGGTGGCGGGAGGTGGAGTTGCTGCTGGGGGTGGCGGAGGTAACGGGGAAGAAGTAGAAGAAGAAGAAGAAGAAGAGAGGAAAGAAAAGAAAAAGGAAAGAAAGAAAAAGAAAGGGAAAGAGGAAAAAAAAAGTTTTTCACCTTACAAAAACTTTTACAAAATTTTCACCTTACAAAAACTTCTACAAAATTTTTTCAAAAACTTCTACAGTGCACTACAGTAAAGTTTTAGACAAACTTCCAAAAAACTCAGATTCCAAACAGGCCCTACGTTTCCGCTGCTCGAAGTGTGTTTATGTCTCCTATTCTTTGTCTAAATAACGGGGCTGTTGTTCATGAAAATGACATATTTCTGTTCACAACTGAACCAATGATGGGCCGGGCATGTCACCAATTGTACCCACCATCTTGATGACTAAGCCACCTGTAGAAGTAGCAGTCAATATGTTTCCTGAAGTGATCAGGCGGCTCGAGTCTACAATTCAACTTCTTGCTTCTTGGCCTTTGCTCCAACAGATGCAAAGCATACACTAGGGGCAAAAACTTGAATAGTTCAAATTTTGTGACACTATCCATTTTTTAATTAGTGAAATGGTGTGGAAAAATTTAGGCCACCGAATCTACATCAAGTCTATCCAAATGTTTGGATAGACTGGAAGCCAAAGCCAGCCTAGAGGGTGTAGTTGCACCCCTTAATTTTTCAAAATTTCTAGAATACCCTATAAAAGTTTGGCTTTTATTCTGTTGTCCCACTTTTGCCCTCCCTCCCCCCCAAAATTTGATAATATTCCCTTTGACCCCATAATTGTCCCCTTAAAGTTTTAAAATATTTTGCAATTACCACCATCATTTCTACAATGCAACATTATAATAAAATGTATTATACGATTAATTTCTTTCAAACAAATTTTATTCATTTTACATTAAACTTTTCATAGATGTCAAACTATATAAATTACAAGCAAACCAAACATTCATTTGATAGTTTGACTGTATATACATTATTTGCCTTTCGTATATATTTCGAATATATACATCTAGTATTCAATGCATAATTTATTTTTATGCACTTTTATACAATTTTATGCATATTTTTATTTATTATGTAATTTTATACCATTAGATGACCTAATAATTATTGCATATAAAAAAAAGTTGTTAAAATTCTTTTTAAAATTATTATAATATTAAATAAAGTGGTAGTATATTGTAGACGTTTAGTTATCCCAAAAATCAGTAACATATTATAAAATTATGCTAATATTATTGGGAGCATCTAAAGTGCCGTTATCATTCTTAAGGGTATGGGTCATTGAATTAATATAAACAGTTAGATCTAGAAATTTGCCTTATTAACAGTACAGTACTATTGTCAAATGAGTGCAAGTTTATTAAGCATTCAAAAAATCAACAGCACCTTCCATGTTAGTAATGGTACAATTCTAATATTTTGGAAGTACAATATAATATCAACAGGTTGTTTTGTTATACGTAGACGAATGGTTAAAGTACTTAGTCAAAATATTAAAACTTTTTTTTGATGCAGTACCTACTGTATTAGCTAACCGTACAACTTTGCTATATTTCATAATACAAAATTGTTTCTTTCCCCTACATTCTTCATGACTTCTACTTTTTTTTTTTTTTAAGCTTTCTCATGATTGGTTTATCAAAAAAATTAAATAACAAAAGGTTTTGTAGTTTTATAACAAAAAAAAGAATTACCTAATTCGTAAATGAAAAATTAGTTCCTTGAAATAGTACAATCCATGTTAAGTGATGGTACAATTATCATATTTCTGGTACAACATGGTTTTATTAACATTACATTCACTATTATCGAGTTAAAATGGTTCTATCCATTTGAATTTTTTCTTTTATTTTTTTGTCATAAGAATTATTTTAAAATATCAAAAGGTTTTCAGGTTGTACATGTGCTAATGGCTAAAGCATTAAGTTTTAGAAATTACCAATCATTTTTTCATATATTACTTGCCATGTTAACTACTGTTACAATTTTTCTATTCTACAGTACAAATGGTTTCTGCTGATTTATAGCTACACTAGTGAACATAACTATGCATTTCACACATTGGATGGTTCATGAGTTTTCATGAATCTAACAAGGTGTAGATAGAGACGAAAAATTCTACTTAAGTCATTAATAAAATAATTACGTGTTGTTGTAGAATTTGGCAATTTGCCAATGAAAGGTAATGTGATAACCTGGTTTATTTGGTATAGGTAAATACAAGTTTTTTAAATAAAAATTATAAGCAAACAATCCCATCTTAACAGACTAAAATCACCTACGTGGCAATATACTATTTGTTTTTTAATCAAACGGCAACAACTAGCCTAACCTACCCTAGGGGGAAAGGGAGAGCCCAACGAGGTTTAAAGAAACCGACAGACTGAACAACCATCATATCAAACATTGAAGAACAATGGTATTGTTCCTTGAAATCAACAATGGTATTGAAGAATTTCCCATAAATACAATCTAAATAAGATCACAGGGTTCTAAATAAAATTTCTCAATAGATTCGTTGTTCCTTCAAGCAATTTTCTCACAGTAACGCTCTCATTAATTCTTGATTAATTAGGTTTCATAGTTCTCTCTAGATTTGGTAAATTGAATGCTTTGAAAATTAAGTTCATGAATCATGACTATAAATGTCCAGCAAGGAGAATATCAGAATTATCTCTCCAATTCCTTCAAGGGCAAGAAGAGCTTAAACAGTATATACTGTACACAGAGCTGGAATCCACTATTAACCCGAACAAAGTTCTGAATCTTAAGCAAAATTAAACTGATATTGTTCTCCACTAATTAATTATTGTACAGACAATTGATCCTGACGATATAAACTTTAGTGTCCATCGAAAAACACTGACAGTTGACTTGCTAAAGTATATTATCACATTAGTACCTTAGGTACCCTAATGCATCTGATATTGAAAAAATAAGCCCCATCATAGCTAATTAGTTCATTTCTTTAGGTTTATTCATGCTCCAAGCTTCCAATTTCTTGATTGTGACGGTCTGGCTACCATTATTGAATGCATACAAATGGGCATTGTTGAAAACTGCCAAAGTAGGATATACCCTAGATGTGATACACACTTTGCCTCCTGCACCAAAACTTTCCACAATAGAATGATCAATCTGCCAAGAAATATATCTTGCTCATTAAGAATGTCTTCTAAAAAAAAATCTAAAAAAGAAATAGAGGGATGTGTGGAAGTTTTTACCAGGCTCCTGAGAGAAAGCATTTTCTTTGACAAATCTACATCTACAAAACCTGCAAATGAGGGTTTGTATATCCCTTTCTTTAGGGAGGAGCTGTCAAGAGTACAAGTATAAAACAATACAAGATTAGCAACACCAATGGAGGACAGAAGCAAAGATCTAATACTACTAGCTAGTAAAGACATGACGAAGCAACAACCAACCTTGAAGCATCAGAGCAGAGCAGAATACTGTGCTTGTTCTTGTCCTCAAATATCCTAAAGAAGACTGGAGTATGTTCTTCTAGCTTCTCGGAAGCTAGTGTTAGAAGACCAAATGGCCCAAGTCCTCCTTGGACAGCTGAACCCTTTCGACTACAGAGCTCCTGAGCATCAATGTGATCCCAACTAGGATCAAAACGCTCAGCTTTGCTCAAACTTGGGAAAAAGAAAACTACTTCAACGTCAGCCTGCATGTGCAAGTCAAACCAAGAGAATTTAGTAACCCCCACAATTTGCAATTCAGATAAGATTATATATGATTTCCCATTAATGCATTGTCTGATGTGTAGCTTAAACGAAACGCAAATATCCAAGAAAACCTGTGCAGCTGTTATTCCTTCGATCTCAAGAACTTCCCCCTTTTTTATCTTTTTATTCCTCAACTGGACCTCATGCCCTCTATGACTTTCCACTTCTTCAATAGGCCACACCAGCAATTGCTTTCCATTAGGATCCAGCCAAATTCTACGGGGAATAGGCTATAAAATTCAAAAGTAGAACAAATAAACACCTTTTGGATTACATTTGTCATACAAGATTGATAAAGTATGCCAACATTAGATACATTTTAACTCGGCCATAATAACTTATGGACAAAGCGTTTGGACAATGAGTTTCTATAAGAGTATCCAATAAAGTACATGATTTATGTAGACAGTTAAATTGGAAAAAATTTATCAATACAAGATGAATCCCAGGCGAAATGCATTTTTTCTTATTAGGGCCATCTAGACAAAAGTTACTTCCACATCAGTCATCAGGCATATGGTTTTTTTTTTTACAAGCTACCATATAAACGCTATATAGTGATAGGGAAAAACGCACTCTTAGTCAGCAAAATTTGGGAGTCGGACAAAATTGGACTCCAATATTTCAGTTAAAAACAAATGTATTCAATGTCGACCTTATTGATCCTAATGTTTCAATCTATACAACTGTTGTCCTTACAATATATTAATTAACCAAATTGGTCCCTAATGTTTCACAAAATCTAAGAAAGTGATCAATAATATTTGGTTCACCACTACATAAAGGCTGTTTAGTTATATCCCTAGAAAGAATTTATTAATTTAAGCTTTGGTAATATATGTCCAAAAACATTATCCTAATTAAAAAGAAAACAAAAGAAAGTACTTCACTACAATCGGATACTATAGTACTTTTAAAAAAAAATTATTTTTTCTAACATACGAATGATAGGATTTAAGAAGTAGGGAAGGGGAAGAGAAATTGAGACCTAGGACCTCTAAGGCCTAGGGTCTTAACCTTAACACTAGACTAAACCCTTCTTAGTTAGAAACTATAGTACTTACCAGAGTTCCATTCCATCCTTTTTCAACAATGTCCATTCTAGTGTCTGATTCGTTGGAGAAACCCCAAATAATCCTTCTTTTCTTGCCAGGGTCAAATAAACTCTTGGAAGCATAAAAATTTCCATAGTCATATCTTAATCCCTTCGAGCCATCCAGAGCAGTATTATCAAGTATGTACCTGTCAGTCTTTGGTAAATATTTACCAATGGTATAGTAATCATATCTTGTTGGATCAAGGCTAACCTTTAAGACAAATTTAACATTTTCTCCATTAATCATCCAATTCTCCAACCCTTCTTTTCCTTTCAAGGAGATTGGGAAAAAATCTAGTCCTTCCCAATTCCCGGTCTTTTCTTTGGAATGAAATGGATTTTCATCTTGAACCCAATTGATATAGAGGATAATGGGCTTGTTTCCTGGAAGGATCATTGTTGATCCGGACCAACAACCATATTTGTCGAATGCTTTTGTGGGTCTAACTGCGGGCTTTAATGTTTTCCAACTAATTAAGTCCTTTGACATTGAATGGCCCCATACCGTGAAATTGGTCCATGTTGCACCATAAGGATTGTATTGGTAGAAAAGGTGGTAAAATCCATTGTAATAAATTGCTCCTGCTTAGAAAAAAAATTTAATGATTTATTTAGATAATTCTAGTTTATGGGCAGAGAACTGTATCTGAGAAAACAACCAAAAAGAAAGAGAGAACAAATTGTGAAAGAAAGAAAGGAAAAAACAAAAAAGAGGGATAAACTTTTTAGTGTAAGGATGAAGTCATTGGTGCTTAGGGCTGCTATTGAACCTAATCGAATTTAAACAATACACTACTCGAACTCTACTCGAGTAAAAATGTTTGAGATCGAGCTCATTAAGTTATTTTACTTTACTCGAGCTCCAGCTTATTTTACTTTACTCGAGTTTGAGCTCGAGTTTGAGTTTGTACTTAATCAAATCCAATTCAATTGAGTTTTTCAAGCTCAGTGTTCTAGTAAATTTCATAATTTTACAATAAATAGTTAAAAATATATTATAAACACACTACTCTATAAAGTTCGACAATACTCTAATTTTTTTTTTTTTTTTGGCTACTTGAACTTGACTAGATTACTTTATCAAATAGTTCGAACCCAATTCGAATCTGATCAATGCCGAGTTCGAGTTGAAGCATTGGCCGAGCCACTCATGAGCCTAAATCAAGTAGTTTGGTTAATTTACAACTCTAGGTGCCAAACTGCTAGCAAAGGCGAGAAAGTGAAAGGAAGAAGGGAAATGTAGTCACAGGTGACAATTCTACAAGTACATAGGATCAAACCTTCAGTAGATATTTTAAAAAAAAAAAAAACTTTCAGTAGATATAAAGTACAACTCCATTAATGTGGAATATGGAGTGCAAAAATACCCCAACTTTTCCATCACAAACAAAAATCAGAGCAGTTCCATTGCAATACAAAGGAAAACTATTTTCTATTGGGAATTGTGCTTATAATTCTGTACAAAATTGTTATATGCTGAAATGTAATCTTTCTACGTTTGTCTAACAAATGACAAGATTTTGAAAAGCACACGGAACATAAGAAACACATCCGTATATCATGACTAAATACCAATGTTTTTAAATTCAGATTGGATCTGTTGCTCCAGTCTAGCGGTACAAAAAAAGCCGAAAAGTAAAATAATTCTGTCAAAATCGATCAAAATGTAAATGCGTGTGTTTGTATCTGTCTGTGTGTATGTATATATTGTATAATATATGTGCTATTTGGGTCTCCCTCCACTTACCTTCATCAGGTTAACAATTAAGGATTGCCATGTAATATTGACTAAGTGTCAAAAGAAAGTTACTAGCTGGTCTGGAAAGAAGCTTAGCTATGGCGGTTGCAACTTGTGAAAAAATTAGTTTTGCCTAGAATTCATGTTTATTGGTCCAATGTATTCGTATTGCTAAAATGAAGTGGCATCATGAAGACTCATTATAGTGCTAAAATGAAGTGGACTGATGTTCGCAAGCCAAAAAAAAAAGAGGGCTGATTGGGTATAGGAGTATAAACTTAACTCTTCGGAATAGATGCTTGATTTTGTAATATCTGGAATATTTGTGCAAAAAAAGAGTGGGTATTAGTATTAACTTAGTTTACAAGTTATGGCAATGTTGAAATGAGGTCTTGTTTCAAAGGAAACCCTGTGTATGCATCTGCTACAGTAGGAGGCACTGTTGAAGATGTTCATTTTGCTGTGCAGTGAATGCAGTTGTTACATGGGAATTCATTTTTTATCGATGTAAATGCTTTGATTTGTTTTTGGTATAGTGACGCATAGCTAATATATATATATATATATATATATATATATATATATATATATATATATATATATGCGTGCGCGGGAATAAAATCAAAAGTTTTAAATTTTCATGCCAACTTTAGGAATTTTTGGGAATTGAGAGTGGGCAACTGCACACCCTCACTTGAATGTGACTTTGTCACTATGTAAAAATATGAAGCCTTTTCCTTTTCCTTTCCCTTCTCTATATTCCTTTTTGCTAATTTATTTAGTTTTTTCAATTTTTTATTTTAGATATCTCGTTGAATCATGCTCGAGAGATGAATTTGACTCTTGTTATGTTCAAGCATTTAGGGATGATTCACAAAAAAGTAAAAAAAAAAAAAGTGGGAAGGAAAGTTTACTTAAAAAAAGAAAAAAGAAAAAACTCGAATCTTATGACTTTTTCCTTTCCCAATTTAACTGAGTTCTTGACCGGTTTTGACCAAAACTCAAACATTCATCTTGTTTCCGTTTTTACGAGCAAACCGGCCAATTTGGTCCATTTAAAAGCAATGTTTTGAAACTCGGGCCATTAATTGAACCGGTGGAGTGTTTGGATCGAGATTCAACCGGTCAAACCGGTTTAACCCTAGTTCAATAAATTTTTAAAAAATTAATTTATACAAATATATATACACAAAATAAGACATGCATTGGACTAATTTAAAACTTTATATGATGAAAATTTTAATATTTTCAAAGAACTTGAATTTTCACAAATAAATTTTTTAAATTATAAGTTGAAACAAATAAATTTCATCTCAATCTTAATTGAATTTACCAAAAAAATAATCTTAAATCTGACCCAAAATATCACAATATTCTAAAATTATACAAAATTCACGTCCATGGGAATTAGACATTGTGAGTTTAAATGTTAATTCACATTTTTTATATTTAAAGATTGCAACTTAAAAAAAAAAAAAGATTGGAGTTTGGAGGAAGTCAAGAAAATAGAAAATAGAAATACAAACTTAATAAGAGGCAAAAAATGAGAAGAGAGTGAGTGGATATAGCATTTAATAATTAGTGTTTAGGGTTAAGGAAAATATATTCTTTTTTTTTAAATTTTTTTCAATTTAATAGACAAAAACAAAATCGCCAGTTCAACAATTCAATTCGATTCACACGGTTCGAACAGTTCAATCTAATTTTTAAGTCTAATTAACCCAAAATATGAACCGGACCAGAACTATGACTGGTTCGCGATCCAACCGATCGAATTGGCCAGTTAGATCCAGTTTTCAAAACATTGTTTAAAAGTAGTGGTCTGTCCTACAGATATATATATAATGAGTCAACTAATGGGTTTTCGGGTTTTTGGTTGGAAGAGAGGGGTGCGTTGGGTTTTTAATGACTTAATTAGAGGAATAAAAAACCACATCCCTCATGAAATCCGTACTTGAGTTGGATACAAAATATTAGTGAAAGGCTCAAGAAGAATATATTGGCGGAATCAACGTGCAGGGCCATGAAGCAAGGAAGAGTACATGCAAATTAATCATAAAACATTAGATGTCATGTAATACGATGTATGTGAAAATAATTGGGACTTTGCACAAAAAATAATTGGGACTGTTAACGAGGACGAGCTCGTCCCACTTGGCCTAAAAAAATTATGATTGAAGTTGATGTTTAATTGGATCGGACAGAATTTGAACCTAAATATAAGGTTCGATTTAAATGTGATTCGAGTTTAATCCTTATTAAATTTCTCCCAATTAAAACCCAAACAAGTAATTATATATTTACGTATATATAATAACATTTATAATCTATAGTTATACATATTAAAACAAAAAATAATTATTTATATATAATTAGCACAATACATAAATATTAAATATATGTTATATATCGTTACGTACTTAATTGCCAATTTAGGCCAAACTTACTTTGATCTAAAGCTCTGAGTATGAGCTTCTAATATGAGCCAGAAAGCTCTATTTCTTTTGTGAGTTGAACTTGGCTCTAGTGAAACAAGACTCACAAGCTCTTTATTTGTTTTTTTTTTTAATAAACCAATCCCTCCTTCCCTAACCCTAGTGGCAACCTTGGGGATCAACCCTGGTGGCAGCCGGGTTTGGGAGTTAGGGAAGGTTAGGGGAGCGATTCGACCCTGGCTACCAAGTTTGGGGGCAAGGGAGGGTTAATTTAAAAAAAAAAAAAAAAAGAGTAGAATTTGAAGCCACATGCATGAGAAGTGAGAACTATCATTTTCATAACAGCAATCAGCAGGACAAAGGTTCACAGAAACTCTCTAAAGCTAAAGACGAAATGTTTCCAGTTTTAGGGGATTGTATGTAGCACTTGGTTACTGAAAATGTAATAGTAAAACTTAATAGGAAAGAAGAGATACCGCTGATGCAATTCTTTTCAGGTTGATAATGGTAGCATGGTCTGTGTTCTTGCTTCACCTTCACGGCAGAGAGAGACCGATATCCCCGATGTATCTTGTGCGGCATTTCAATATTGCCTAGTGACAATAAGCATACGAAAACAATTGGCAAAGCCCGAATAAACTCATTACAGTACCACTTCATATTGCTTATATATTAGCCTAACAGTTCAGTAAATGCTATAGACAAAGTATTTATAGACAAAGTATTTGTAGATGCTTTTGGTATTTATAGGCAGAACGGCTTGGACTGTCCGCAATGTTATAATAAAAATAAAAGCTGCGCACATGCTCGGCCTCTAAGAGATATTCATACGAGGTAATTTTGGAATTTGAAGATTTCCTAACTTGCCCTCTAACTTTTTAGAAATTTAGTAGAGAAGGGGGTTAGAGAGGGAAGCAACCGTTCCTAAAGGTTCATGGCCAAGATTTGTCCCAAAAAAAAAAAAAAAGGTCAAAATTGCATCTTGTACATTGTTTTTCATATCATATGTGAGACTCACAAAAATTATACGTTGTTGAAAATGAGTTACACTATGAGTCTGTTTGTTTCAATGTAAAATTTTTTCCCGAGGAGAACATTTTCAATGAAAATAATTTTCGTGAAAAAATTTTCATTTCCCTTTATTTTCAGGTGTTTGGTGCAGTTTTATGAAAAATGTACCACAAAACTAAAACCTACAAGAAGAAGGATTCCCCATAGAGTCCC